CACCGGGGATCGAACACCTGACCTTCAGGCTGCAATACAAGCTCACTGACCAACAGCCCATAAAGTAAGATTCCTAATGGAGTCATTGATGTATACTAAGTACTCCAAATATTCTCCACAAATATTGATGAGAAATACATCATATTCATTTCCTTATGAAATATTAGTAATCATCGACTTCTAAATTAATGCTGAGAACTTCGCCTAAAAGTTACACAAGCGTTAAAGAGAACAGGATAATTTCTCCCAACATTCGTTAGTCAAATGAAGGAAATATTTGGATATGTGCCATTGAAGTTCTCAGCACCACCTTGAAATATCTGTTGCATGTTATATGGTTTTTTTACTGTGAAAAAATCTGTTTGAGTTTAGTAAAATAAACAGAAATTGTCAAGGTATTTCTTGTGAATATGATAACACACATCAACACCATAGTAATGAAAAAACACTAAACATGCTTAAAGTTTTTCTCTCATGACAACCTCATGAACAGTAGTGGAAGAATGCTAAGACTATCCTTAATTTGAAGTTTATAGTTTCGGAGTTTTTTGTTATTTTCTCCAGACACCTTAGAGTCAATTACTTGGAGAGTTGAACATTGAATCTGAAACATTTTCAATTAAGTCTAAGAAAAGGATAGAAAAGGTGTACAAGACTGAGTGGATATTATTCCGGTTATTCTAGAACTGTCTGAGTTTTGCTTTTGTTAACAAAGTTATCGATGTCGGTTCAAAAGTCACTTTCAGTGCTATTTCATTAGGAAGCGGAATTCGCACATTTTTCAAAAGTATTCATAAAAACTTTCTTGTTGGCCGGGGAGCATACTGAGGTTTAGTCACTTCCATTTTTCTTAATTAGTTCGCTGTAATAAATCAAACTTCTTTGAAATGACAATTCTGTCACTCCCTACATATCTCTCCTTAGACTTTACATCTGTTATTGGATTGAACATTGAAGATAGCCTTCATTGACTGACGTCTAAGCATTGTCATAAAGCCAAATTGAACTTTTTATTTTTGTATTTGATGCATATACGTTTATCTGAATATATAAATTACTGAATAAAAATGCGCATTAAAATTTTCTAAAGAATGGTTACTGAACAAAGTATATTCTTTTCGATAACTTCATCATCAAGTTCGACAGTTATATATACACATAATAGTGAATGAATTCGTGTTATTATTAACAATAATGTTTAAATAACATCGAATCAATAGTAATACCAATGAATTACAGTTCGATAGCATCAACATAGCAATACACTGAATATCAGAAAAATTAGGAAAAACACAAATTACAAGATATAAATAATACAAATTCATGAATTTATAGTCTCTGCTGAAAGCCGGCCAGGCCAGTAGTAATGGCTGGACTTGTTTCTTCTACACACAAAGCACTGGTTGCTTCAGGCGAATCGCGATAGCCTCTGCTAATTGGAACATGCGGTATCTTGACTTTTTGTCAATTGATTTGGTACCCGGTAGATGACAGAGAAGGATTCTTCAATGCTGACTTTGTGGCCGGTTTGGACCAGATGGTCTAATATCGAGCTATTGATGCTTCTCACTACACCTTTATTTAGCCATACTGTCAGATGCTCGTAGTGGACCTAGCAACTAAGTATGTCTATACACACAATTAAAAGGACAGAACAAGTACTAACAAATACGTATATATAAGATATTCAGTTCACTTAAGTTAATATACACAAAAAGAACTGAAGTTATTTGAAGAAAAACTATAATAGTCACAAAATACTCAAATTATAGACGTACTAAATTATAGGAATGAAATTGTCCTTTTCTTGATTATACAAATCCTCAACTACACCTTAGAGCTGTCAACCGTCGGAGGTCTCCCGCGTAGAGAAAAGCAGATAGGAGCAAAACTCTTGATGTGGATGTGTCAGTCAGTGCGAGAAAGAGTTGGTCGGCAGATGTGCTGAGCGAGCCGCCGGAGAGAGAGCAACCGGTTCGTTCCTTGCGCGCGGTCCAAGGTTGAGTTCTTTTCAATCTTACCTAACAACCACGATTTTCATTGGATTCCTTATTTTTCGGTGAACATATAATTTGATATGTTTTTAGGCCGCCACATGTTCACGACCACGAAAAATCAAGTTCCTAGTGCAACAGTCAATATAACTGGCTTCATTCTCTTCGATTTCTCGCATTAGAGAAATCAGATAAAAACTCACCTGTTCAAACATAACTGTTTCTTTCCTACTTTGTTTTTTTTACTGAAACGATTGTCTACGAAAGTCTCAAAGTTTCTCTTAAGAAACATTCCTTGCTCTGCGTAATTTGAAAAGTTGTATGGTTTTTGAATATTTTATTCTGTTATCCAAATAAAGTTTTGTCTCACACAAAGAGAAGTATCTTTGATTGTATTCATTTATCACGCTGAAGTAACACTGGTTTAGAAAATTCACCTTTGGTTAAGACAACTAGCCGACTTTTTATTAACTGTTAATCCTAAATTAGACTGGTATCAGTAAATGCGTTGTCGGTATTGGTTGATTTTGCAGCTTGAAGGCAGTTGTTGTTTGTGGAAAGCCCTATTACGCACTGAAGTTTGCACTCAGCTGATACCAGAATACGAAATGAATTTTAACAGTGCTTATATTATGTATTTAGATTATTATTCATGTACAGAAAATGACCTAGGCAGTCTAACGATAAACTGCTTAACAAATGACAAATCTTTGGTTAAAGATAATCCCAGAAGTCATCTGAAAGTTACTTTATGTCTAACAATAAATAAAGAGCTGTGTTTCTTACCTCTATGATGGCTTTCAACCTTGTGTTAGGTGAATGCAGGAAGATTGTTAATTATACACTAGCTGTGGGAATAATTTAACACTCAATGAAACCATTTTGTTAGACGATATTTTTTTCTAATGGGATACAGTTTTGCAGTTCAAAGTCTTACCATATGAAGAGATTTCCGCACTACTAGTATTTCATCAAGATAGTATTGAATTCAACAAACAGTTACAGTTTTGAAAGCTGTCTTTGCACTTTCGCCTTTTTTATGAAAGTGAACAGTGTTAAACACTTATTCATCTCAGGATAAAAAAAAACAACAGATTTTCAGGGTGAAACACAAAGTGCAAAGGATATACTGTGCAACTCAGAGGTCACCGGCTCTGCTCTTCTGACATCCATTCTTATTATTGAAAAGTAAATAACTCAGTGAAATATATAACTTCTCTCTGAATACACTTAAATTTTTGTACGAGTTAAATGTACATGCCAAAAATTCAGTATTACTGTAACAACAGAAGGCAAGACTCAGGCAACAGGTTGTTTATTATGGAAATCAACACATATTTATAGATTTCCGTGTACATTATTATAGATTACTGTTAGCTGACAAACACAGTTTTCTGATTGGTTGTTTCTCACTAAAAGTTAATCTTTCATCTCTTTGTTGCTGTCTCTTGAGTGTCAGATCATCTATCTGCTAATTGTACCCGCCTACGCAAAGTCTGCTGTCCATCTTTGATCTTGTTTTCACATGACTAATATTTGAGACATAAACATTGACGTCAGTTACTGTCTACCAATTTGGCTAGCAGCCATCTCTCACCACATTAGTATTAAACTAAGAGTTTCAAATAGGATATACTAGTATGGTAACTCACAAAATTGTTTCTAGCATTAAAGTCAACTTTCAAACTCGCTTTCATAGATTATAACACGTGAACCAAAATTCTTACCGAAAAAGTGAGCTTACTACTGAAGGACAGGAAAAATCATAACTAACCTAAATTAATTTATCAGTGTCAGTGGTAAATTCTAAATCTTATGCGTTATGTAAATCACTGGCACAAGGAAGCTCATAGTGAAGTACTCAGAGCATATGTTCTTTGACAAGTAATGGGTAGCAGTAGAATCCACGAATTAGTTTTCCAACTGATTGGAATGAGCGGATTTAGGTGAAGAAACTTCCGTTTTGGATCCCACTAATAGCCAATCGGTGGCATAGTGGTTAGAACGCTCGCCGACCATGCACATGGTCCGGGGTTCGATCCCCGGCCGACGCACTCCTTTACCTCTCTAAGCCAGAAATAATGCTGGTAAAGAGGAAAGGTTGGGCATGAGGCTAGCAACCCCATCCTGTAAAATAAACACTGATACAGAAACTTCAAGCCACTTGCTTGAAGCCCTATGTTCCACTGGGGAACGTGAAGGAAAAAGAAATAGCCAATCGACTTAGTGAACAATACCAGGCTGAGATAGAAGACATCATTTAAGTGTCTGTTCTAGGAGGATATATCCTGAAAGCCACTGATCATTTGTGTCCGTTAAAAAAGGGGGGCATGAAGTCAGAAGCTCCAAAACTGTTTGGGAGATAATTTATTAAACATTTTCACAATCAAAATGAACGGAATCCCATGTTAGAATTTTAATGTGTATATGTATCGCAATAAACAATCATCTTTCTGACGTTTAAACGATGTAGCTTTACCAAGTAATTAATTTAACTATCCTGTTTTTCGAAAAATCAAATTCCTCTACAGAAATCTTTAAATGTCTCCCGCTCTTAAATCTGTTTCTTTTCTGTCATTTAGCTTATTCTTCATGCATATCTCTTCTTCCCAAATGTGAAATGCATTTTAAAAAAATGAAGCTTTTGTCCTTTAGTTTAGGATTTTTCTCCTTCTTCGACATTAATTAGCTGTGAGTTGGGAGAAAGTGAAATGGAGGTTGTATGCGACGCTTTGTTTCAGTGTACGCTTTTTCTAGCATGACTTATATCCCAGGTATGCACAGATGAGCTGTAATTATTATGACTTTGTTAGAAGATACTTTTACAGAGAAACATTTCCGGTGTCTACTGGATATTTTGAAATTTAACTTTAGGTAGTCTGGAGATGATGTATTACCCAAACTCAATCAGAAGTAGAGACACGCGATAAACCATCAGAAGCAAATAAGAAATGTAGACAGAAGACCGTGAACTATTTCAGTAGAGAAAATGAATGCAGTGTTTTGAAGAAGTATTAAATTTATATACATGTTTGATGAATATGTATCACTGATTAGAATAAACAAACCACAACATGGATGACAAGTATCAGTACAGTGACTAGTCTAATACATAAGATAAAACAAATGTAAATAAAACTTTATACATATTTTATGTACAGTATGTAATTCTTATTAGTACCAGTAGCAGTTAGTTGCTTTAATCAATACGATTTACTTTGGGATTTATTTGTGGTGATGCTATAGTGAAGTCGGTGAGTGATGTGGTGTTGAGCGAATTCTGTCCATTTGCATTAAACGCGATATTATCACTGATTAAGCTACAATTAGTCAAGTTTGAATCTTCTTGACTAGTAGCATTTAATACACAGTCTTGTGTATTGCTAAGATTCAGAATGTTTCCGGAATGAGATAAATTGTGCACCTTAAATTGAGACTTCATTTCTGGAATACATTCTGAAGAAGTCTGTTTTAGTAAAGAATTTTCTGAACCATACAATAAGTGTTTAAATAACAATAACGAAGGCCATGTGTTTAAAAAGAAGGCTGTTATATCTTCGTCTGGATACGAATGACCAGGTTGTGGTAAAGCGTACGGATGTTGTGTTTTGTTGTTTGGAATATTGATTTCTTCCGCTGCACTGGATAGATCAGTTTTGTTTAAATTTTCACGAGTAAAATTGTATATATCTACTTCAAAGGGATTGACAACGTTTTGTGACTTATTGGGATTTACTATCTCTGTCATTTCTTCATGTAAGATGTCATTATTTTGGATATTTGTTGGAAAATAGCGTTTAGAATCAGCAGATTCTTTATATGATCTGAATATATTGGTATTTAATTTACTACCATGAGATTTTCTCGTTGTTTTGCACTGCGGTTGGTTTTTAACCATATTTTCTATCATGAAATTTAATTTTGGTCTCTTTGCTTTTGTTAGAGAATTCTCTTGTTCTACAGTGGACTTGATCGATCTGTCTGGATCACATAGGTCAGAAGATGATTCGTCGCCATTTGACTGACTTTCATTATCCCAATTCTTCGTGTGTAAATACTGTTTATATTGTTCAGAATCGACTTCCTTAGAACCATGCTCTGGATTTGGTGTACTGTTAGCAGCTAATTCATTCATTCTGAACGGTGTTTCATTCATACTTGAGAAATCATGCACTGAGTCGTTGCTACCGATATTGTTACTGTTGTTATTATTAGTTGTATTATTTGAAGTGTGCATCATTGGGTTACGCTTACGGTTGCCTCCATTGAACATGGCTTTCACATCTTCCCATGCATAAATTACTTCAACTGGTGGATCTGGATCAAGTAAGTATAAATGACGCCTCCATGCATTAAAATTTGCAGCATCTGGATGACGATATGTTGATTTCACTGCAGAATCGTCGTTAGATCTTGGTGAATGACAATGAAAAATGAATTTGTTTGGCGAGAAATAATTCTGAAAAAAGATGTAAAACAAAACAGTTAAGCAGATTATGCTTTCGTAAAATATACAGTAAATGGTGACAGGAGCACAACTTTATAATAATTTCTTTTGGAAACCTAACAAATGAACTGCTTAATAAAAACAAATGACGTTGAGTTCATTGGTATAATAACCTAATGAACTGTCAACTTTAGGTGGACAGTTAGAAGGAAGATGAACTTTTGAGAAGTCAAATACTAAGAGAAAAATAACAATACAATATTGTTCCACTCTTTTTCATCACTTTTGTTATGAGCGCACATTATACAAATTTTCTTCAGACCAGTGAACTCATACAGCACACTTAAGTGTCGTTCTTGTTCAAGTACTTTCCCAGCTTCATCATTCACAAATAGTAGTTCTCTTTACATCAATTTAGTCACAGTTTTTATCTGACACCTTCGTGACTGTTCATTTGTATATGTCTATTAGACCATCAAATATACACCAACTACACTTTCTTATGAGGGTAAATGAAAGAAAACACCTAAGCTTAAAAGAAAATATTTGTTAGTAGAAATTAAACTTTAGGTAACCCTAACACTGTTATAGTCTACACAAACTGAATGTCAGACATTTAACACCATTTTACCGAATTTGATAAACCGTTTGACAGTTATGTTAGTGAATTGTTGAAATGAATTACAGGACAATGTAACTACTCCTGATGAATAAGAAAAGAAAATAGATTAATTATATTTGATAGGACAGTAGTTACAAATCATGAATAATGCTTCACATAAGGAATGCGTCGTTTCATTTACTTGGTAGTGAAGGGTAAAATACATTGTGCTGCCCAGTCTATAGCGCTGACTGAATCCTATTCATTAAAGCTGTATTATGATCTCCATGCTAGAAAACTGATAATTTGATCGCACATTTAGATTGATTTCAGTTAATCTGATGAGATTAATATGCGGGAGGAGACTAAGATTTTGGCTAATTCTCTCCAGCCTTCGATTACGATAAATATGATAAATGACAAAAAGCTTGAAGAGGAGATCCATAATTTTCAGCTGGCCACTGGGAACCATCTAAATTTGTTTTGGTAATTAACCAAACTACCCAACGTAATAGTTATTGATGTTCTTCAATTTTTGTTTTATATTTTCTATATTTATATTTTGATTACAGCTTGATGCCACACCGTCTTCTCAGTACAAGTATGGAATTTTCAGCATGGATATCGGTAGCCCAAATTTTACAGGCCGACCATAGATATCGGGTGTGCGTCGGTAGGGGATTGAACACCGGACCATGTGCATGGTCGGCGAGAGTCCTAACCACTGTGCCACCGACGTAGTGATGCAAATTCGTAAATATATTCAGACGAATTCCGTACTTAGGAACCTAGGTGATATATACATATATATAATTACTAAGGATGAAAATGATATTTATTGTACCTGATTCGAAAACAAAAACTTTTCAATCATTTTCAAATTTAAGGACAACTATTTATTTCTAGGGCATTTATCATTGAATATTCAGATATTTTGTTTATACCCCAAAAACATGTTACAATCGAGCTTAAATACTTTTTTCAATAGATGAATAAACAGCAAAATAAAAATATTCCTGTTATAAATATAACTTAAATGTAACATTTTTAAGATAAACGCTTTAGATTAATTTGACTTTTAAAAAAAATCCCTATTTCTTTTAATGAAAGTAATGTTATTACAAAATATAGAAACAACATCTAACAGACTAGTTATTTAGTTCTGCGAAATTCTTCTTTAGCTCTCTTGAACTGGTTTAATTTCGATCAGAGATGCCATCAACTGTGTTAGGTCATTTCATGTTCGTTTAATCAAGTTCTGTAATCAAACTTTTTTTATCGCTTAAACCAGGATTTCTAAGATACGGTTAAATTCTGATGTGTAATGTACAGAATTTTTTTTCAATGTACACAGGGATGAAAGAAATTTGGAATGAATATTGAAGTACTGAAGTATTTAAGCATAAGGATACCAACTGATAGCAAGTTTAGACAGGTAGATCTATAAAACTGTCACTAGTATTGCTCAGGTAATTGGATTCGGAAATGTATTATTATTATTGTTTCCTTTAATTCCTACAGGAACATAGGGCTTCAGCCGTGCGTCTCCATTGAGTTCGGTTCTCTGCTAGAGTCTTCACCTGGCTCCAAGTCTGCCCACACGTTTTCATCTCCTCTTCACATGACCTCCTCCAAGTCACCCTCACACTGACGACCAACTCGCCGCCTCCCTTTCAGGTTCCACTCAATGGCTTGTCTAGTGATGTCACTTGATGGCTTCCTCAGAGTATGGCCAATCCACCTCCATTTCTTCCTGCCTATTTGTTTCACAATCGGTTCCTGCTGCGTTGGTTTGCTCCCAGAGATCTCTCCCTGTTGCTAATCTTTTCTGGCTGGCCATCTGATCTTGAGTATTGAGCGAAGACAACTGTTAATGAAGGTCTGTAGTTTGTTTGAGATGCTCTTTATGACGCGCAGTGCAAGTCTCTGATCCGTATAGTATCACTGACTTCACATTGGAGTTGAAAATCCGGATCTTATCCTATTAGCATGCTGAGAGTTGTTGACCTCCACACAGACTTGAGAGTAGTGAAAGCTTGTTGTGCTTTTCCGATTCTTGCTTTGATATCCTCGTCAGTTCCGCCTGTAATTGAAACGATGCTTCCCAGGTAGGTAAAAGAGGTTGTTTCTTTCAGGTTCCTCCCATTTATGCTGATCGTTGTCGATTGTTGTTGTTATTGTCTAGGAACCTTCATTATCTCTGTTTTCTCTATGTTCCCCTGAAGTCCTATCTTTGATGCTTCTTCTGGCAACTTGTGGCTTTTCACTTGCATATCTTCCAGTTTGTGAGAAATCAGAAAAATATCATCGCCTAAGATCAGATCCTCCAAGTTTTTGTGTGAGTGTGTATTAACACTCTGTTTTCAGAATTACTTTATACTTTATAAGAAATCTGTTAGGATTTAGGATAAATTATGCTTTGGCATTGGAATAAAGTCTGAAGATTATGCATTCACAGGAAGGAGTAATGGCTAGTTTTAACAAAATAAATCTATTTATTAATCCTCCACTCAGAATGACTTTTCATGTAGTTTTCAGTGAACTCATTGATAAAACTGGAAGTCACGCCAAAGTTGCAGTTTTGTCTGACCCCTTAAGATTCAAGGATCAAGTTATCCAAAGAAATTAGGAAAATTGCTGAACAACTGGAAGTACGTGTCCTTAAAAAGATTAAAACATACACAGAAAACAGTAGAAAGACATGTGAATGACATATTTACTCTGTTGAAATGAGAGTACGTTCAAAAGTTCATATGAACTGTGATCAAGATTTGACCGGATAGTTGCAAAATAATTGAGCGCTGAGTGAGAAGTAGACATTTATAAATTTATATTTGTAAAATCTCAGCGAAATTGAAATGATTAATTCCAACGTTTCGTTCGGCAATCTGGTCCGAACTTCTTCAGGGAAATTAATCGAATTAAAATAAACAGAGGTTTATACATAAAAGGAACAACTCATGTTTTTAAACTTTGTCCAATCATGAGTCATGCAACAGTCATCAACATGTATAATAAATAAATAAATAAAATAGTATGTTTATATATAAAAGTACATCTCTTGTTTTAAATTGTTTGTCCAGTCATGTGAATCAATAAACAGCTATCAATAGGTATAGTAAACAAAACAAAACAAAACAAAATTTTAATATGAACTGTGATCAAAATTTGACCTCAGACTTTCAAAATTAGTCTACTTTTGTTAAAATATATGTGTATATGTGTATATGCAGTATCAATGGTGTGTGTGTGTGTGTATGTGTGTGTGAACAGTCATAAAACATTTGTAATTCTCATATGAGCTGTGATCAAGATTTGACCGGATAGTTACAAAATAATTGAGATGTTTTTTACATATATAATATATATGAAATTAATAAAGAGGTAATATAATATAATATTATAGATTTGTTATTCTCTCCATAAAAAGACGTAGACAATCGGGAATTTGATCAAGTGTGACTAGTTGTTGAAACATATCCAATTTATTTATTTATTAGTCAGGAGTTGCCATGCATTAGCTAAGATCACACCTTCACGTCTGTTCAAACTGTTGGGATTCACCCATATATGTAGGGCTTCTGCAGTCAGTCTTTCTTTATATGAACCAAAACCTTTCTGTAAAACCTTAGTCTTATCAAAGTCGATTTTGTGTCCCGTTTCTATCGAGTGCAGTGCAATCGCTGAGTTGTTTTCTGGCTTCTTCAAGTCTGCAGAGGTCTTTGGAACCACCTTTAGACATTGTTTATGCTCTTTCACCCTTACATTTACCTGTTTGGAAGTTTCTCCTACATATCCATAAAAAGAGAAGCTCGGTGTATCACTTTGGTTTACTCTGGCTCCGAAAAGTTGCAGCCCCTGTAGATTTTATGGTTTACCAAAAATACACAAATCAGATGTTCCATTGCGTCCAGTAGTGGATTTTACTAATTCTCCAACATACAAACTTTCTAAATACATTCATCGAATTCTTAGTCCATATGAAATGAAAGTGGAACATCGAGTGAAGAATTCGTATGAATTTAAGAGGAAAATAAACTTGACTAATATTGAAGATGATGAAATAATGGCAAGTTTCGGTGTTTATTCATTATTCACGAATGTTCCCGTTAATGATTCTTTAAGTATTATTTATGATTTACTTATTGCTGACGACGAACTCAGTGGTCGTTGTCCTTTATATCCGACGAAATTATGAAGGTAGTAGAATTGGTTCTTCGATCCACGTTATTGACGTTTAGAGGGGTTATTTATCGTCAAACAGGAGGCATTGCTATGGGATCACCAGTATCTCCGCTAGCCGCCAATCTGTTTATGCACTCATTAGAAACAAATGCAATTATTAGATGCCCTAGTCCCCCAAAGATGTGGTTAAGATACGTAGATCATCAAAAATCAAACGTAGTTTGTTAAATGAAGTGTTTCACTTAATAAACAACATGTCAGAAACTATCAAGTTCTCCAAAGAGGTTGAATCCGATGAGAATTAGTTGGCGTTCCTGGATTGTTTAGTGAAAAGAAAACTAGATGGAAAATTTAAAATAAACATTTTCAGAAAGCCGACAAATTCGGATAGATACCTAGATTACCATTCAGCTCATCCATTTACCACCAAAGTAACTGTGGCCAAGAATCTGATCAACAGAGCCAAACGTCTACTTACTGAGTAGGAAGATATTAGCAAGGAATTAAAATTGGTTCAATCCACTCTTGAATCAAATAATTATCCAAAATCCTTCATAAATAGATATTTAAAATGTGAAGATAAGGATGAATCAAAACCTGATGCTAAGAATTGGCTTAGTACAGCGGTGATTCCTTACCGCAAAGAAACATCCGACGAAATAAAGCGAATCCTTAACGACCATAATATACGAGTGTATTTTCGTGCATCAAACACCTTACGCTCATTACTGGTTAAGGTTAAGGATAAAATAGAACAAGAAAACCAGCAGAATTGTGTATACCAGATCAATTGTGAGGATTGTAACGCCGTATACATAGGAGAAACTTCCAAACAGGTAAATGTAAGGGTGAAAGAGCATAAACAATGTCTAAAGGTGGTTCCAAAGACCTCTGCAGACTTGAAGAAGCCAGAAAACAACTCAGCGATTGCACTGCACTCGATAGAAACGGGACACAAAATCGACTTTGATAAGACTAAGGTTTTACAGAAAGGTTTTGGTTCATATAAAGAAAGACTGACTGCAGAAGCCCTACATATATGGGTGAATCCCAACAGTTTGAACAGACGTGAAGGTGTGATCTTAGCTAATGCATGGCAACTCCTGACTAATAAATAAATAAATTGGATATGTTTCAACAACTAGTCACACTTGATCAAATTCCCGATTGTCTACGTCTTTTTATGGAGAGAATAACAAATCTATAATATTATATTATATTATATAATATATGTAAAAAACATCTCAATTATTTTGTAACTATCCGGTCAAATCTTGATCACAGCTCATATGAGAATTACAAATGTTTTATGACTGTTCACACACACATACACACACACACACACCATTGATACTGCATATACACATATACACATATATTTTAACAAAAGTAGACTAATTTTGAAAGGCTGAGGTCAAATTTTGATCACAGTTCATATTAAAATTTTGTTTTGTTTTGTTTTGTTTACTATACCTATTGATAGCTGTTTATTGATTCACATGACTGGACAAACAATTTAAAACAAGAGATGTACTTTTATATATAAACATACTATTTTATTTATTTATTTATTATACATGTTGATGACTGTTGCATGACTCATGATTGGACAAAGTTTAAAAACATGAGTTGTTCCTTTTATGTATAAACCTCTGTTTATTTTAATTCGATTAATTTCCCTGAAGAAGTTCGGACCAGATTGCCGAACGAAACGTTGGAATTAATCATTTCAATTTCGCTGAGTTTTTACAAATATAAATTTATGAATGTCTACGTTCAAAAGTTGTTTAAACGGACACACACCCACACGCACACAAACACCGTAACGAATACATTTCGGTTCACTTGTCAACTAGAAAAGGAACAATTCCATTAGTGTATGTTGCAGTATACAAATAAGACGAAAAGCTGACTGTGATAAAATTTCATGTGTTTATTTCAGTTTGTCAGATCCGGATAGATAACTGGCTTTACATCGTCCCAAGATAGATTCGTGAAATTAGGTCTGGTCAAGTGCTTAATCACCTGAACTTGAATTTTGATCAACAATCCTGTCAAATCCATAAGACTAGGGGTGATTGTCTAGAGTGCATGAAGACTGTTTCAAAATAAATAAAATTAATCATGTAAGTTGCCTTCCGTGGGAAATCAGAAACGCTATATGACCTTCTTAACAAAACTGATAAAACTGTGGAATTGGAACTCACAAATTCACTTAGAAAGAAACTTACTTCGAAAGATACCATAGATCCATTCAAGAACAATCATTTTCCCGGTTAAATACTTTGTAATGAGTTAAGTGAAAAGAGCACTTGTCAAAATTGCACATTTGGACCAGTCAAAAAAAGAAGAACTTGAAACTTCAAATTTAGGTTCCATCAGGAGTAAAAGAGCCGTTGGAAATCAAGATTGAGTGAATAGCTATTGTATTTTAGTTTGCAGTCTACCAGTAGTGAGCAGAGACAAACTTCTGGCTTTGAGTTGAGCCTATTTTCATTCACGCAGGGGATTAAAGGCAAAATGGTATAAATTTCTAATTTCTATTAACTCACACTAAGAACAACAACCATTATTCAGTACTACTGGCGTGTTACGATCCTTGTGCGCGATAATGTCTGAGCGGAGAAGATAAACCTCTAAGTGGACAATTTCTCATCTTTGAATGGTTCGTTTCTTCAATACAATGAAAAAATAGTTGCTTAATCCCTTCAGTGATAATTGCCAGAGGCAAAGAAACTTACATTAAACAGGGCTTATAACTATTTGAGGCACAACCCATTCCTTTTATAAGTTTGAAATATTTATGTATTCCCTCATTTGCAGAGTATCTGCTCAAGCAGATAGGGATACCTTTAAGAATTCTCAAAAGAACTCAGTAAATTGTGTCATCTGTTGAACATTCAAATAATTAATAATGAGAACAATAGTCTAGAATTAATCATTACATTTTACTGAAACCAGTTAATATCATTTAAATAATTAAAAAACTAGGGTATTAAAGGATGCTTTTTGCTGAAATCTGTCTAACTAACCTAAATATTTCTCTCATCACTTTGAGTATGTGAAAAACCAAACACTTCCCTTTGGTCTATACACTAGACGCATGAAATAATGCAGTTCAAGCATGAATTTTGTAGTACAGTGGTAACAGTGTAAAAAATAATTCGATAACCTTTGAATGGTTTATGAGACAGAGAAGTTAACAAACGGAAGATAACTATTTTATCATCTCAATTGTGCGTCAGTGGCACGGTGGTTGTGACTCTCGCCGACCATACACATGGTCCGGAGATTCGATCCCCTGCCGACACACACCTGATATCAATGGTTGGCCTGCAAAATTTGGGCTACCGATATCACATGCTGAAAATTCCATACTTGTATCAAAAATACGGTGTGGAATCAAGCCATAATCAAAAATAATAGCAATTAAAGACAAATGAATAGTACGCTTAAATAATCACCCACCTGACATATATAACACCGAATACATTTGGCTCTAGAGCTATTGTACCTTGATGGTGAGAAGGCACCTTGACATCCCCACCCACAATGATGCATAACTTGGAATACAAAATTCTCTGGTAACTTAGGGTGTTCTGGTTCATCGAGGAATGACTTGATTAGTCGTTCTGCCTCTCTGTAAGTGATTGTACCGCAACGCCTTGAAGAGGTTGGCATAGCGCCAGCTTCTCTTAATAATTCCAACTGATTTGGTGTACACTGAACACATGTTATACCAAGTGCAACACGTCTGTTATGTATCTCATTGTACGAATATTGACGTAGTAGAGTTGAAGAAATTTGTGCTAGACACAAACGTTTAACGCCATTCATATTTAGACAAACTAACGTCTGATTTCTAAGTTTGATAGTGTACAAATTATCGTAATCTGATTCGTTTTCCTTTGATGGATAGCCTAATAAATCGTCACTAGTTTTGCTGGTTCTAGTGTCTGTCGTTGAAGAATTTGATGAATTATAATCTTTATTATCATTATCGCTATTATTATATTGTTTGGTGGCATATATTGGTTCATTTAAATGGCTTATTTGACTTTTAACTTTACTTGTATCAATTAAGTTTAACTGTTTAGCATAGCTGTCTACTTCAAAATGGTGCATATTGAAGATGAAATTTGAATACTGTGGATTCTTTGGGTTATGAATTCTCCTAACTTCATTCTTAGAGTCAGAATGAAATTGTGCCCAGTTGTGATTGATGCTTGAATTCACATCTTGACTATCTAATACTGTAGAACTAAGCGTAATATTATTCGAATTAGACTGTGGATTGTATAAGGATAAATCCATGATTATTGGCTTAGTCCTAAAATGTGAAACAAATAAGAAGACTGTTAGTATGAGTCAGTAGAGTTTGGAATGTAATTTTGTCTATTACAAGATTCAAACTAATGAAACCCAGATGATTCGATTACTGTCAAACACCTCATTGATAATAACTGGACAAGACCGGTCGGCAAAGATTTCTTAAAAACACATCTAAACGTTATTAACAAAAGGTGCTTAACCATAATTCTATTATTTTTCGTACAGAGAATCGGAGTGCATCTGCAGCACTGATGGCAAATTCCATTCTTTTTCAAGGATAAACTAGCTTCAAAGAACAATCATGTAAGCCACCTGTTCATTCGTATGATTGATACAACCCTAGCCTGCTATATAAATGTAAGTCCCACCTTGAAATACTTGGTTCATACAAAAAAATAGTAACTGTACGCGTCAGTTATAACTTCTCAGCCAGGCTGAATTAAAATTAATCGAATAAATGTAAACGATATAAAAGTCCTTTTATATTATTTACACGTGTTTCGCATATCGAGCCATCACCTTCCTCGACAAACATTGTTAGCCGACATTTGATTAGGTTGGATAAGAGACAGGGATGGTCCAAGCAAGACATGTCATGAGTTCATGGAGTCTCTGACAACTGGTTTGAGTTAGACATGTAAGTGGGAGATTCATTTGTATATATTTGAAACTGCTATTCAAGCTTTCCTCAAGTAGTTGTTGTAAATGTTGTTATTACTGTTGTAAGTAGTTTCCTTTTGTGCACTCTTGCACTATTATTCATAGTGAACTTATAGCTTTATCATAGAGACACTGGAAGACCAATGAATAGACAGTAGTCTTATACAAATATCTTCTAAATATCACTTTTAAAAAGACACATATATTCCGGATGGTATAAATGAAATATTCGATAGTATTGAGAGAATGTTTGCATGAGGGGCATAAATTATGACGAATAATAATAATATTTGTGATTATAAGCAAAGGAAAAAAAACCAAGAGGGTTAAGGGGAAGGAGCACTCTTGGTGAGAAGAAGAGTCATCAATCCAAGTTCGGCCACGGCGTCTGGACGTGTTCTTTTTGGATACAAAGTTCCGGTTTAGTCGATCTTATTGCAACAGCTTCAGCTATGTGTAGGAGACGTAAGCGAACTGTACGTGATAACGACTTCGGAATTCGGTATATAACCCTGAAAGCTGTGTTGACATCGATATGATGTCCAGTATCGACCAAGTGTGACAGGATCGAGCTTCTTATGCACTTAATTTCCCCTCTGCTGAACCAAGCTGGTAGATGTTCTCGAACCCGCAGACGAACCTGCCTAATCGTGCGCCCTATATAACTTGAACCACAGTTGAAATGGTATATGCATGAAGAATAGCTAAGGTTAGGTAAGACATCTTTGAGTTGTTGGGTGAACATTGGACGGCTACTGAAGGATAGACACAGACGTGCAGAGTAGAAAGCTTTCTTGATCGCCCTGGTTAAACGTTGCGATAGAATCTCCGCAGGAGTATCTCCCTTGAATTGGAGGCGTAAAAACAGAGGCTTTTTCACCACCGTTGTATCCGAAAAGAACACGTCCAGACTCTGTACCTACCGTGGCCGAACTTGGATTGATGACACATGTATTTGTTATATTTAACAGATAAAGAGGCATGACTTTACAGAATATATGATGGTACTCAGTTAGACTGACTGAAACTTTTAAGTGGGAAAATTTCAAGCAAATCACAAGTTGTATCATCTACTTTCACATTTCTCCCGATAAATTTCTGTGAGGTTATCTTCATTTCAGCACATCTAACCCTTCAGAGTGCTTATATAAATCTCAATGATTTATAATATGGACTCCATGAAGCAGAGTGTGATAAATATTATAGCAGCTTTACGGCAGTTTGTTTATGTTCGTCTGACGGGCAACATACACAGGTATTTAGGATTGGTGTTTTACTATGCGTTACTAATTATATCACAGGTCTTATTCTATAGTCTTAGTTGATTGGACTCTAACAGCCACACTGTTGACACATCAGTTCTTGTGAGACCATTAAACGAAAAAAATCAGTATGGATAGCTCAATTTGTGAGCAGTTTACAAGTTTTCACTCATCAGTATAGCTATACTAAAGATGGTAAAATTCAGTCGTTTTAAATATTTCACCTCTTCGGGCTAAATCATACTAAACAGATAAATGAAGAGTCTGGTTAAGTTAAAGATTGTTAAACCAAATTATGTACCAAGTAATTTAAGTGACAAAGTAAGCGAATGAGATTCACACAGCTATCTCGATTCATTCTCGATAGGCTAACCAAAAGGTGACAACTGTAACAGTCAATGTTTTGGTGCAAAGCAATTGGGGATAGGATGCACTACCCACATTCATCAAAGAAACTCTTTTGTGAAAAATAACTTATGTACTACCTAGTAAAAAATACATCTTGAAAATTTACAGGTTTATTATGAGAGCTAAAATTAACCTTATTGACCATAGGAAGTAGACTAGCTCCTAGCTTATTTTCACACGAATTGCCACTTAAAAGTTCCACACAGAAAGTCAAAACAAATGATTCAGTGATGAAACTCTTCTACGAATTTATTATCAAACTGTACTATCGTATATATGGTTTTAAGAAATTATATCCGGTGTGGGAATTAGATTAATGGTGTGAATGCATAAAATAATAATAGTATGAAATGCAATTAAAATATTTGTGATTATAAATATAGTTATATGTCAAGTGGCAAAACAATAATAAATTCGTTGTAAAGAGTCTCTTCCTGGAATCTTTTGTTTTAATTTTCTATATGATCCAATAGTAATTTTCCATGAGTTAAAGGTTCATCTCCTAGTCGGTGCATTTCCTACTACGTGTAGTTCTAGACCTAATCTGCCCTTCCACAATTTATTCCCATACGGTGATACCAAAAGCTTACAAACATGAGGAACTTGATTCATCGCCTATACAGTGTATGTTGAATCCACCAGCAGAAATATTTATTTGATATTTTTCCTTCACTATAATCCGTCAAGTCAGATATGTATACCTTATTTAAGGACTTGTCTATCCAAGGCAGAGGCTTTCATCTGTCACAACAAATTTAACCAAAATACAAGCTTATCAACCAATTCCAAAAAAACCTCCCCTTTCTGATGGTTGTATTTCTATCTACATCTTCATCTATAGGGGATCTACATCCAGTTGGGATTTCAGAAACTCACCAGTAAATAAATATGCTATGGTAGTTTATTTTCAAATGGCTTTTAAAGTAGTGAAAGATACTGAAGTATTTCAGATCACTTTGTTGAATGCATAGTCTTTGACTAGTATTAGTAGACTTCAAATGAACATGATCATTATTATTGACCGGCAAAATCAAAAGAAGATTCTTTTGATCTGTCTTCCTCAAAATTAGATTTCTTACAATTGATAATCCCAACAACTGGACTGAACTATGAGGTTACTCGGTCCTGGAGTAAATATGATGTAGAAAATTCAACCTTATGATGTGCCTAACCCTCAGACAGTAACAGACAATACACGAACACGTTCAATAACTGACGTGTGGTGCCATTTAGTAATTCCGAATCGATATACACCGATAACAAAATCATTAAATTATATTCGAACCCGTAAACACATAAAACTTTTAAACTTGTAAAAAATCACCTTAGCACTCTTCAAATACTTTTCCTCAGACACATTACGTATTAAACTGAAAACAATACTAACTTACTTTTGATTAAATTAAAAGCTGCTTTTAGTGCTCATATAGTTCATATGGTTTTTGCTTCAAAGTGTCCTTTATATAGGTTTCCTCCAAATAGTTAGTTCTTCTTTTATACTCATTTTAACACGGCTAACGATAACAGTACAGTTTTGCCTTTCAAAAAGTTAAATTACCCTTGTTAGTTATTTTGATTGGTTAATTTCTGGGTTGGACAACTCAATTGTCTTCATACTTACATTAATATTCTGAGAAAGGGGATGAGAAACGAATAACCCTGATTAAAAAGTAGAATAAAAAGGGAGAGAGAAAAAGTTATCTTCTGTAACAAAAGGAACAGAAACATAGTCAGCTAAGAGGAAAGAGAGTATGGAATATTATTCACAAAAGAACTAACCTCCGTATGTGTATACATGCGTCAATGTAACAACATAACATGAAAAGACCGTAAAATATAAATTTTGGGTGTTGAATTGACAGTTATGATAACATTCAAAAAGGAGAGCAGACGGTAAATAAATCTGGAACCAATTAAAGTGCAAGACAACAAAACACCTAGTGTTAATTCAAAAGTATAATGTCATTTTTTAGATAAAACAATGAGAACAGCTTCATCAAGGTAAGAAGAATCTATTTTATTTCACAGGGTTTACCTCAGCTACATACAACTTGAATAGTAGAATACATAAATAGTCAGTGTGACATAATTATCACACACTTTAACTGAATAGCCAGTTCATTTTGCAAGAGTAGAATAAACTGCCAAAAAGGAAGACGATGAAATACAGGTAATGTATATTGTAAACAAAGAGATATTCCTGAATTTAAAAGTGAATTCAAATATAAGAGATGGTTATACAGTCAGACGAGATGAAAGGCGGTAATAATTACAAGAGAAGTTATAGGTACACTGCACTTGGAAATTACAAGGCAGGGGGAAACGGACAACTACTACCTCACATGAAGAAAATAAAAGACAATTCAGTGAAGAAAATTTTCTTTTTCGACGAAGTCGTCAACTAGGCTGTACACTTGTGTATTTATATTAAATGTGTGAGAAAGTTCCAGAATTATTTCCAGTCACTTACCTAACAGTTCATAACAGTTCACTTGTAAAGAATATAACCAACATATCGCATTTTTTTAACTCCCTAATATCCTACCTTCATCAGTGTTACTCAGTCGGTAACAGATTCTGTCACACAGTGTAGTCTAAAGGACTGATTCTGCCTTGACAGGCTTATGCATTAAGTTAGGGATGGTACTGAATAAAGTGAGTTTAACCACGCACACCACTGATGAACACAGGCCCAAGTATGTTAAACGATTATCAGGTATTGAGGTCACTTCGGAATGGTAATTAACCACCACTCTTTTATGTGGGTGTTTTTTAGTAAAACTAATACTATCAAATTCACATTGTTTCAGCTTCTAGCCACCACTGTAGATAATGGCATACACAGTTTGAAAATACTGGGTAACGGGTGGAGAAAGTCAACAAACAGTAGAGCTATTAACACAACCAGTATAACCAGTAAAAGTGTTTGTAAGTCTAAAATCACTTTTTGACTGAAAAAATATTTGTAGAATTGCAACAGTAAAAGGCGAGCGATTTGATAATAGAATGTCAATTTCGAATTCGGTATCTCTATTTGGCGAAATTGTGTACACCTTTTCTGAAAATCGGCATTTGCACAAATCTTTCGTGTTGTGCTACTTCTATCCTTCGTCTTGTGTTTCTTTGTATTCTTTTCGTATCCCCCATGTTTTTCTGCAGTACTGAATCATTTACTCTGTTTAACATCAAAACTATCTCGCTGATATCCGATGTTTTTATTCCATCGAACGTCTCCTCATATACTACTGATAAATCTTGTCGGTAGTACAGAATGAACAAATTGTTTTAATCAATCGGTGGAGGTTTAGTGAAATGTGGTTTAGTGATAGAATACTGTCTAACAGTGCAAGTGGTCCGGTTTCGATCCCCAGCTGGAACACTCCTAATCATCACTTAGTTGGTAGTAAGCCTGATAAAGAGGGAAGGTTAGGCCTGAGACTGGTTGTCTCCCTCCCCCGTAAAAAAACACCACTGCTACTAAAACATCAGAGCTTCAGATTGAAGGTAGAGAAATAAAAAAGGTATACGTATGTAGAGTTACCTGAGGAAACGACCTATATGTGAGACTTGTTTCCAAAAGTAGGGCTCTTCTGTCTATAGCATAACATTTTTAATCGTCATTTTGTGATGTTCACGTTAATTTGCAATTCAAATGATCAACCCATGAATATCTGAGTGCTTTCTTTCTGTTTCTAGAGTGAAGCAAATTGTGAATATAAGTGGCGGTGTGGTGAGAAACTGAGGAACTTGCGTTTCATTTCAAAACTCACTAAGTACTTCTGGAGGGTTTTGATGCTACTAACTACGATATAACTATGTGTTCACGTGCAGTTAATTCACTACTTATAATTTTGTGTCTATCTCTCTGAAAGTAAAATGAACTTAATATATTTGTAATTTATATCATCAGGGTAAGCAACTTGATTATGAATTGTGCTAAAATCCTTGCTTTTTTGACTAAATAATTCATTTATACACTAATTAAGAGACCATGAAATCATTTTATCATCTCATGAACAAAATCACGAATTGAATAAATGAACACTCCATTCATGATATTAAATCGGCGCTGTGGCTCACTAATTTATACACTTTAGTTTCACCCAGTATGCAAAGAGATTTAAATCAGAATATTTTTAATTAGCACAAACAGGTAAATGGCATAGTTGGTCATCGCAAAAGCAGTACAGCTTTCCATTGTACATGGCTAGACTACCTCAGATACGGTTAGTTAGTCGAGTAGATTAAAAACCTTGGACGTTTCACAGCAAGAGTAATTATCAACTTCTTTAAAAGATAAGCAGTTAATAACTAAAATGCATTTCTCACACACTGGGAAATAATCCTTCTAACAAAGATAAATTTAACTGCTTCAAAAATTAATCTTATTTGTTGTAACCAACGGTGAAAACTTTCCTTTATCGTTTCTGATATTATCAAAGAATTATTCAGTAACGCTCACTATTTGATAGCCTTTAAATTTCTAAAACCATAGCATTTAATATGTTGCAAATTGATAAAAGCCCGATATTATGTGGCAGTCATTGCTTAGACAACAAATTGCTAATTTTGTGTTGTGTCAGTTCTCCTCTCAACTTCTTTCACAGCCACAGCTGTGTCTCATTAACGTGTCTCGAAATAAGCTGAAAAAGCTCCATAGCTTTAAGAGCGCTTCATTACCTGATGTCAGTTCTTGATTTATCTTAATTACCCTGAAGTCGTTAAGCCTTAGAAGACTTACTTTTCCGGACTTAAGAGGTGACAGAAGTTGAGTGGATGTTACAGCTAAGCAAAATGAACAAAACCAATTCATACATATATATAATTATTTTTTATTATTCCCTTGCATTACGAGTGGAACACAGGGCTTCAACAACACATCTCCACTTTGTTCTGTTTTCTGCCGTCCTCTTCAGCTGGGTCCACAATTGACCAAACTCATTCATCTCTTCATCACACGATCTCCTCCATGTCACCCTCACACTGGCGACCCACTCGTCGCTTCCCATTTGGATTCCACTCGAGAACTGGCCTGGTGTGCAATATTATTCGGTGGCCTCCTCAATGTATACCCGATCCATCTCCACTTTATCCTATTTATTTGTTGAGCGATCGGCTCTTGGTTGGTTTGTTCTCATAGTTTCTTGTTGCTAACTCTTTCTGGCCATTTGATCTTCAGTATGGAGCCAATGAAGGCAGCTGTTGATGAAAGTCTGCAACAAGCTGTTTGAAATCCTTTTCGATACATGCAGTGCAAGTTTCTGACCCGTATAGAAGAACCGACTTGACACTGGTGTAGAACAGAATCCGAATCTTGTCTCTTTTGTTGAAGCGGAGTGCAGATTTCCAAACTGGTTTCAGGTTGATGAAGGCGTATATATATACGTATATATATATATATATATATATATACATATATATATATATATATATATATATGGAGAGAGAGAGACAGATTATGCCCTGACTCAAAAGACTCTAAGAGTCACTGGTTTACTTAAGAAAACAATTAGAAGTCGTATGTGAAAAAATTCGTATTACCCGCTTTTATATGAAACAAATGATCAATAAACAACCTCTAGAATATGTGGTGGTTGTTTCGAACACAAACTGAATTATCGACTTATGGTCAATTAGATTTTGGTCACAAAATTCTTCACCAATCATAAATTTTTGTTTACCAGGCCGTATATTATACTCGTTACATACAGATGATACATGACTGATCCAAGCTATAGTGAGTATGGAATATGTGGAAATTCTGACTTACCGTTCACTGTTAAAATGTCAATAGAGTGAAGCTGTTGATCAAGCCTAGATGGTACATTTACTTAAAGTATGCTATTAGTAGTAGTTTTTTGATTAATGCATTTACACTAATTGAATCAGAAAAACTAACAAGTGGCGAATAACTGTATTTATAACAAAAACATAGTCATCTATGAATGTATAATTTATTCTTATTTCTCATTTTATTCACTGACTGTTCTTTTTCACTGTAAAGAAAACAACTTTTTTTTATCCTTAATTCAATAAAGTAACCGAAACAGAATATAACCATGTGTCAAATTTAGAGTTTTGTTATGGGTTATAATATATTAGAATTGGAGGGAGGGCTCGAGGTGAGATGGTAGACTAGATGATGTGTGTTGTAACAACAGTCTTCCCTATAATAAAATAAAATAAAGCCTCCCTGAATCTAACATTCAATCATCAATAAATATTCATTTAATTATTTATTAATTAACTTGATTAAACTGTCACTATCGCTTTCCTCGTTATGATATACTCATGTGCGTATGCGTAAGTGAAGTGATACGTTTATTTGTATGTATGCGTGAGTACGCACTTGTGAACGCACAGAGTACAAATGAGAAAGAGAAACAACCTTAAATATGTTCAGTATGTTTCCTTAATA